GGAAGTATCTTTTCTTTTATTCTTAATGGGGTGACACTGAGTCCACTTGGTACTGCGGCCACTACTGGCGTCTTGTACCAGCCCCAGATGATAGATGATAATGATGATTGTGGAGCTATTGGTGGAATGAAGATTGGCAGGGGAAACTGAAGTACTCGGAGAAAACCTTCGCCAGTGCCACTTTGTTCACTACTAATCCCACATGACCTGACCTGGACTCGAACCCGGGCCGCCGCTGTAGGAAGCCAGTGATTAACCGCCTGAGCTATGGCGCGGCCTTATGAGGAAGCAAGTTGCAATTTCGTAAGAATGCTGCCCGATTTTCACTTGATCTTCTAGAAAGTCGGGATTCTTCACGAATTAATGCCATCCTCTACCCACCACTTGAATAAACTGCATTACAAATTGCAGTGTTCTTTCTTACTCTTTGGGGCACGCGGTAGCTTAGTTCGTTGAGGCACTATGCTACAAGCCGGAAGGTCGCGGGTTCAAGTCCCGATGAGGTCATTGGATTTGTCAATTGACCTAATCCTTCCAGCCGCACTATGGCCCTGGGGTCGTCTCAGCCTCTAATAGAAATGAGTACCAGGAATATTCTTGGGGGCAAAGGGCGGTTGGCGCGTAGGGCTGACAACCTTGCCGCCATCTATGAGCCGACTGCCTAGAAAATGTGGGAACCTCAACATCCCACAACCCTATTGGCTTCCACGGCCTGTTACAGGGATACCTTTACTTTTATTTGTTACACTTATATCTATCACATCTTACGCGTTGCCAGTATTATGCATATACATGTTATATTTTTATATATACGTTCATATATTCTAAAAACATTATCTCCTAGAAACTTATGTTGAAGGAGGACATACACAGACGCAGGAGGTAAGTCACATGAGAGTAATCTGCCAGTTCTGCATTAAGTAGGGGCTGGCATCACGCATTTAATCTTTTACATTTTACTATGCACGCGTTTTACAAATGCCGTTGATGGCTGTGGGTGAAGGAACTCTGCCATATTTTTTCGTAGCGTACACAGACCTACGTATGTGGTTTCTGGTTCCCTCTTCTACCGTTAGACGATAACTACAGGTTTGAATTAAGCTGTAGCTGTGTAAAATGAAATGCACGGCTTGTAGATACGTTCTTTGAGATTGCTCGACACTGCATGTTTTACGTTCACCGTTGCTTTGGTGCTCCGCATTCCTCACTCTAGAAGTGAGATCCGTTGGAAATTTGTGGTTAGCAGCTCGTAATGATTCGTTTCGCTGTGTCCAACACTATTTCATTCCCCCTCACTGCCTATATCCCTACTACTCGAGTTACTATCTGAATAATTCGCTGACTGAGTCATGTAAGAGCTTGAGGCTCTCGTCGTATATTCAACGTTATGTACTTTGCTTGGAATCTTAATTTTGGGACGTGAGTACAATTGAAGGGGCCACATTATAGACAGCTTCGGGTGAGGTATAATACTTGTTATGAATTGCCACATTTTGCTGGTTGTAATATATGTGCATGTTTTGGTACTCCTTTTCCCTTTGTTTCCTTAGATAAGAGATCAGCTAATCGCCGAACCTCCACCTACAGAAGATGAACAGCGATATAGGCCAACATGCCTTGACAGTTTTAAAAAATTCATGATCGAAGTGTTCAAGTGATACATTATCTTTATTTTTCTTTTTAGTCAGTCTGCAGTAAATGTGATCTGGATTAGCATGAAACTGTCTGTCTTCATACTACCTTTCAGCTTTCAAGAAATAACTGTGGCACTGGAATTTTCTCTGCTTTTCTAAACATCATTACCTTTGCTTTAGCAAAGTTTCATCCTTTCGAAGAGCGACAGAAGTTTTCATGTAAGATTTGAGGTTTTCACGGCGGTGACTATGAAGAAATCAGTCTTCTGGGATTTGGCAACGTGTATATGTGGTGTTAACCAACGTTCCTCCGAAACGTCAGTTAACACCACATATACACGGTGCCAAATCCCAGAAGACTTCTTTCTTCAGAAGTTTTTATGTTTTGGAAAATATTCATATTATTTTAACCTTTCTGCATTTATGAATTTGTGAAAGTTTTCAGTTTTTATTACTCAGTTTTTGACAGCAACGGACGCTATTATCTTAAATTTGAAATATTTTTGGAATTAAAGTGTCAGATTTGTGTACTAGATTATTTCTTAAATCGATTTAGATTATTGAGAAAAGTTAGTATATCTTGTTGAAATAGGTCACGACGTCTTTCGGGTCCTCTCTTACTCACAGGCCACTGTCATATACCATTCCAATTTAACGTTCCATTACCTCTGCAGCTAAAACGCCGTCGTTACATAACTTAGGATTTGTTAAGATTCGTATATTATGAATGTGCAGTGAGGAGGGTTCATGTAGCTGAACCCCTTAAACACACTTTCGATCCTTGATTAATTTTTGGAATAATGTTAGTGATATAATTTAATTAATCGATACTTTATGAAAATCGATGATTTATTTAGATGATATCCTTAAGGAGAATGATTTAAAGTGCATCAGTTTTTAAGCCTATGTATTTACAGAACGCCGAACTACCACGCGGATGCTTGCGCCCAGAGGAAACATTAACAAGTCTTGTAATTCCACATTTCTTGTATGTCGTTAATATTATACACACGTATCACCATAAAGGAAAGAGCCCATAAATTATCACTGTAGTAGAGTTATTAGTGTCTTGCATACATAAGCAGAAGAAAGAACTAGGAAGGCGTAAAAGAAAAGCATAAAAAGGGACAGAAAAGGAAGTATGACAGACTTCCGTCTTTGGCTAGGGCTAAGGCTGTAGTTATTAATAACAGCAAGGAAGAGAGAGGTGGACGGATTTCCATTAGTATTCTTCGTATCTCTTTTTAGCTAAAAATGAAATTGCAAAATAAAACTTGTGCCTGCAGATTGAACTCATCTGTTGCATTAATCATCATATAATAGGGCATAAATTACTAAGCAGCAGTATACTAAATAGGGAGGTTACTTTGAACACGAATATACTAAGTATTATGGCAACATTGGATGACTTAAATGATACACAGATTCCCAGGCTTCATTAAGAAGCCAAAACATGGACTGTTACCAATTGTCAGGATGGTAGACTTTAGAAAGGTTTTGTGGTATTAATTGTACAGCTGTATGGTTGTATTTTAGATACGAAGTGAGCAAAACCATTGGGAAGCACGAGGACCCTCCCAATGTGAACCGCACTTGCAATACAAATAAAAATATCCTTAAATTTATGTTTAACCCCAAAAGGAATGATTAAAATTCATGTCATTTTTAGTGTAAAAACAACAAAGCGCTTGAATGCGATCATATTATTATCACGTCCAGTTTCACGGCTTCAGTGGTATCTGTTTCTATGAATTTGACTCTTCACGGATGCAGCTAATGCTCAACGATTTTTTGTTTTCGTAAATGTCATTCGAATGGAAGAAGGCATTTTGTATTTTCCGTACCGGTCAATGTATTGAGTATTCAGTTATTCAGTATTGAGGGGGTGGGTTTCCCCATGCACCGCGACTGATAGTCTATTGTACGTCCCCTTTTTAATTTCTACTGTCTGCATCCCCTACCGGTACTGGTGCTCGCTATCAGCCCCTTTCTGCCAGCGAGGTTTCTACCCTCTACTTGACAGTGGTATCTAATAGTTAGTCCCTTTCTGTCAGCGAGGTCGTCCCTCCTCTGGCAGTGGTACCCAATACTTCCCCATCTACCGGAGGCATTGGAAACTACTTGGGCGGGAAACTTTTTTTTTTTTGCTTAATTTAGCTCAGAGGTTCTTTTACGTGCCGTAAATCTACGACACCGGACCCACGGCTTAAAGTCCCTCCCGGAGGACTTGTTCCCTGAATTTTTCCGCCCTTAAAAATTCCACGACCTCCTCCGCGTACCTTGAGTCATGAGGTGGGAACGTTACCCGTAGACTACGGAGGCTGAGACTGAGACTCTAGTGAAAGAATCTTGAGTCTGCAGTTAACAGTTGCGAGACAGACCCATTGTAGGTCGTCGCAGACTGTTGTTCCTGGTGGAGGCGTGGAAGGTGGAGTAGCCCCCATTGTTGCAAGTCGTTGCGTAACAACGCCGAGTTAGTTGTGAGATAATTGCTCTACCAGTAAGGACGTGAACACGGAAGCTGAGGAAGCTACGTTGTTGGAAGCCGTCACCAGACAACCGATGGAAAAAGAACAGACTGAAAAAAGAAACAGTGCTTGCTGTAGTGAACTAGCAATAGCGCTATAGTTACTTGCAGTTACGATCAGTAAGTGTGCAATAAATCCGATTGCCAATCCAAACATCGTCTATAGTTAGGAGATCACGTGACAGTATTATTACATAACACGATTATATTAATGGTCAGGATTTGGGAAAAAGAGTATTTCCGTCCCTATATTTGTGTCAGGGTAGTGTCCGCTTTGTTCACCTGTGTTGTCTCGCGGCTTCCGTTCACGACGGTTCCTTTCTAGTACGGACTCGTTTGCGGTAATGACACCATGCGCATGCGCATGGAGATTCTGTTTGTTGGCCAAATATATATATATATATATATGTGTGTGTGTGTGTGTGTGTGTGATGCCGTCTCCTAAACGTAGGGGCTAACATTCGACAGTGAAGTTGCTTTAAAACGAGACTGCGGTTGCCTAATATTAGATTTTAACCGCGTCCGCAATAGAGGGGGCAACGTTGGGAAAACACACAGCTTTAAGTAACGTTTTAGTTTGGGGACTTGCTACCGGTGAAAACTTATTTCTTTTGTTCGATTCATGAAAATAACTGTTGCCGGTACTCAGGGAATAAAATTGATCGTAATCAGCGTGTGTAATGTTATTAGTGTTACAACAATGAGTTTGAACCTACAATAACAGATTTGCATTTGAAATAAATAAACATCAAAACCAGTGGTAAAATAAAGACGAAATTAGAAAATGTTTAATTGTTTACACCCTTTCATTACTTTAAAGATCGTATTTTTTTTTCCAGATTGTGTCAGAGATTTCTTCTCATTCTGGAAATTATCTACGGAAATCTGCCTCCTGTGTAAGTAGTTTTATATCTAATTTTAAAATATTTTTATAAATGTAGAAATAAGAGGCATGTAATTACGTGCCGTATGCTTTGCTAATTTAACAATCACAGTTCATTTGTAAGGCGCATTGTGTCTCTATGGACGCATTAATGTATCAATATTTTCATCTCCCTCATACAGGAATATAATAGAAAATTTTCTCTCAATTTAATCAAAATTTTATTCACACCAGATATTTTTAAAGTATGTTAATGCCACATGGTCTGGTCAATGCTGTAGGCTCTACTAATATATCCTTTATCAAGAGCAATATTCTCCCTAAAGCGACAGATGTATCTCATGATCATAGTTACATAGGAATGTAGTTCGATATTGTTAACAGATACCGTATTTACGCATGTATAGGCCGCGTGCGTGTATAGGCCGCAGCACAATTTTCAGACAGAAATTATAGAAAAAATAATTTTCTTGGAATATTATTTCAGGAGTATTACACCCTGTATTACTAATTATGAATATATTTTTTTTAAATGAAGTGTGATTTCGAATATTTCGAATATAAGCCGCACCCCAGTTTTCCTCTTGAATTTTTGGCAAAAAATGTGCGGCCTATACATGCGTAAATACGGTATATTTTATCGTTTGCTTTGTGAGTCGTTCATAATAGTTTTTGTTGCATAATTATTATACCTAATTAAGTCATAACTGGGACAGGAGAAAATTTAAATGATTATAAGTACGCATTAAGGGAAAGTAGAAAAAGAGCTAAATCTGATAATGTTTTAAGTACAGAAAGACGATGCTGTAATTTTCCACTATTTGTAACGTCCTCCTATTCATAAAACACAATTTTTAAACGTTCCTTCCTTCCCATTTCGCAAAAAGTAGGCTTCCCTTCCAAGATTTATGTTAAAAAATATACATACCAGCAACCCTTTTCATACGTGGAGATTACCATATTTTATCCATAAAGTTGCGTTGCAAATTATTGTGCTAGCTTTCTGCAGTGGCTGAAATCACAGGACGAAAGGAGAAGAGGCACGTTGCTAGAAGTACCAGAAGGGGGATGGGTTAACAGTTTCCATGGCAATGCAGTTGACAATTAATCTGTCACATTTCTTTTCCTCTAGAGTTATTTGTGTTCAGAACTGTTTTTTTTTGTTAAGAATGCAAAGAATGTCTGCAAAAAGATATTGTGTTTATTATTTTAATTTGTTTTGTGCAGAACTTGAAGTAGCGTGGTAAAGAACTTTCCAATCCATTATCAGGGCGAGACAGATCACATGACCACTGATATCAAGAAGATTGCTATATTCAGGCAGGCAGACAGAGATATTGAACTTTCATGGCGTACTCATGTCATAAGGATTATCACAGCTATACAATATTTATGTTCGTTCTTGAGATCCTTGACATCAGCAAGCGTAGGAAGACCTATTTTCTGAGAAACTGCTTAATTAATTACTACGTCTTGAAAACTTTTGGGAGGGTGGAATTTTAGTTCCATACGTTCTTAATTTCGCCTAACATAAAGGTAAAATTGATGTTCCGGCCGTTTTATCCCTGAGGAAAGAGTCCTCTGAATCAATTTATTAGGAGGCTGTGTGGCTGTCGGCGCAGATCGTGGGGGGAAAGAAAAAGGGGATCTTTTCTTGCCTGGAATTGAACCCCGACCCCAGCCCCTAGCTGTATAATTTGCTGTAAATATTCTGTGCATAAGGAATACAAGATATCCACGATATGGTTGACGGTTGTATGTTGTACGTAACTTTCATTTAAACAATGATATAGCGTAGTTTGTTGAGGCACTAGGCTACAAGCCAGAAGGTCGCTGGTTCGATTCCCGATGAGGTGATTTGATTTTTCAGTTGATCTAATCCCTCCAGCCGCATTATGATCCTGGGGTCAACTCATGCTCCAACAGAAATGAGTATCAGGAATATTTCTGGGGGGTAAAGGGCGGCCGGCGCGTAAGGCTGACAACCTCACAGCCACATGCGAACCGATTGTCTAGAAGATGTGGAAGCCGCGACGTCTCACAACCCTATTGACAGTGTGTGACCATGCTCCATATTATTGAAAAAGGTGTTTGAGATCACACCCCATTCCTTGCAAAAGAGGAAGAAAGTTCTCTTTCTTTAGTTGTCCCTTAACCATGAGTACTCACTTTCTATTCCAAGAGCACTGGGCCCACAATACCAACAGCGGACACAACACACAAAACTGTATGCTTTGCTGGGTAAAGTGAAGCATCTTCGTGGAAGTTCAGATAAGCGTGACACCTTCACACTAAAAAACAATTTCACAGTAAACATTCTCTTTTCTGTATTATAGAACGTCAAACAGAACTTCCAACAATATTTTATAAAAGCGTACCTACACGACAAGAAATTATCCCACAAAAGAAAAAAATTGTCACTTCTTTCTAGAAGGCACATTATAAATATGATACGTTTCGAAACATCCTGTGCTTGCTAGCAGGATCATTAATCTGAAGCTCAGAATGGAGAGGTGGGGGTGTGGCAATAACCAGATAGGAATTATGTCCCGTACCGCTGTAAATACATACCTCACTCTGGCCTTTTACAGTTTATGGGATTAACATTATACGCGTGGTCACACTCTACTAATATTTGTTCTGGGTTACTTTGCGCCTGTGTCTTAAGCTCTTGTGATGTTGGGGAGAGGAAGTGGGGCGTCTTACGTCAGGTTTCAAAATTAGAAGTGTGTTTAAATAGCCGGAGACTGGCGATACTACTATAAAGCGTTACATGATACGTATCACTGCCATATTTCATCCTTTCTTGAAATGTTTATTTAACCCATTTCCTACTCCAGATTCGCAAAGAAAATCAAGCTGCAAAGCATGTAAATTGCTGAACTCTGGCTGATATTAAATGTTCTTTATACTGTTTCAGACATAACGAAGTTAGGAAGATAAAGGTTATTTTGTTAAAATTCCTTCGATATTTTTGAGAATTTATTAAATTTGTCCACAAATTATGTATTATACATGGTAGGCGGAGCAATTTGTGTCGAATCCAGCTAATATATGTCACACAGGTCAGACTTGTAGAACATTAATTGAATAAGTCTGTTTTATCTTGCCCTCTGAGCTCCTTCCACATTAAACTATTTATACGTTAACGACTTTAAAACATGTTATATTTTAGCATCCTGTTGCACTGATTTAAGTCCATGATTTATTTAATCCGTCTTGCAGTGCTACACTCATTTTTCTCCTTCTCTCCCTCGCACTACATGTTTCGGCATAATAATGCCATCTTCAGGTGCTTACTTATCCACGTCAAACCAGTTCATTGCATGCCATGTTCACACATTAAAATAACTAAAATATGTATCTATCATATACATTGTCCAACGTTAAAAATATTAAAATTGTTCAGGATACCACATCGCTACGTCGCCCCTCACTATGTCAGTCACGCCCATTCTCCTTTGTTGGAGCACTCCTTCACTATCTTGTGTGTTGTGGTTTTGTTGTGTCGTGCTCCTGCGACTGCGTGTGTTATACTGTTGGGCTTCCTGGGTATGTGTTAACGTTGGACAATGTATATGATAGATACATATTTTAGTTATTTTAATGTGTGAACATGGCATGCAATGAACTGGTTTGACGTGGATAAGTAAGCACCTGAAGATGGCATTATTATGCCGAAACATGTAGTGCGAGGGAGAGAAGGAGAAAAATGAGTGTATGCACTGCAAGACGGATTAAATAAATCATGGACTTTAAAACAATTTAAATTGTTGATATTGAAATGATACGAATGTCATTTTGAAAAGAGGTTCTGGCTGTTTCACGCTGGGTTTCTTATGGCAGAAGAGACGAAGGCCGTGGATGAGTTTCGTTAGTTTTCCTGTTGAAATTCACGCCGGATAATCTGATTGGTGTCTTAAAGTCAGATGCTTTACAAGTGAATTATTCGGTTTAGTGCATCAGTGAATGTGTTCTTCATTTCTCATGACCAAATAGAAGCGCTAAGTAACCACTACTATTGCTGTATTAACGTTAAAATCTGTTATGTCCAGTCCTCCCAAAAATACCCTTTCCAGTGGTGACGGATATGTCAAAGGAATTTGCTGACAAATGGATTTTAGCCTTGGCACTAGTTGGAGGTGAGTGGTCAGCTTCACGCCCCGGCAGCTTTACCCCCGAGGAAAGAGCCCCCTGTACCCATTGGCTAGGAGGCTGGGTGAACCCCAGAGCCGGTCTGGACGACGTGGAGAAGAAAAAATTCTTGACCCTACCGAACCATCTGTCGCCCAGCCCGTAGCCAGTCGCTATACCGACTACGCTATCCCGGCTCCTTAGCCTTGGTATATAAGAATTAAATAATTTGAAAAATAAGTAATGGTTGTCATGTGTAAGGTGCAGAAATAAAATTAAGTATACCATTTTTTTGTTCTCTCCTTTTATCATTTATCTAAGTTTTTAAGCATCTCCTTTAATGTATTTGTATTAGAATGAAGGGAACTGTGAGACTTTCGCGAGATTCACTTAAGTGGTTATTGCACTTCAGGCGCATGTCTACAGACCTGGCTATAGTATACAGGCGTATCACAGATCCTCTGAAGAGAAGTGGCGGCGTGCTGTCACAGCGACCGTCCAGTGAGGCCATCCGTTCTTGTTACGGGATAAAAAGGTCACGCGTAACCAGATTTAAAATGTTACTAAGTTCTGTACTAAGTTTGTTCTGCATAATCTTAATAAACTCAACACATGAACGACATTTTATACATCCAAAGATTTAAGCACGTAATGTGTTTTGGAACAAGTACATCAGAATACTCTTTTAAAACTCAGTTCTGACGTTACAAATCCTTTGCACATAAGTGCGGCTCATTTTCGATTTTTACCTGTGAAATTCTGTCTCATAAGCACTGTAATGTGCCTTCTGATTCCATAAAAGGCAGAGAATTTCCCAAGTGTGTGAGCGTCTGTTGGATCCAGACCCATGGAGGTGGTTATTCCAACTACTTCAAGCTT